TCTATGAAAAACCCTATAGCTAAAATAATCTTTAATGGTAAAAGACTGAATGCAATCTCCTTAAGATATGGAACAAATCAAAGATTTGTTCTTATCACATCTATTCATCAATTTTTCTGTAGGCCCTCATTAAAGCAGTAAAGGAAAAAAAATAAAAGAGATTAGAAAGAAAGAAGTAAAATACATAGTATGATAGAAAATGAACCACAGAAACTACTCTACATACCCATGAGACTAAGTAAATGTAACAGTCACAGGATACACAGTCAATTTCAACAGAAACAGCTGCATTTCTATAGCCTACTAGTGAAAAATTAAAAATATTATTTGCAGTAGTATTCAAAAGTATGAAAAAAGTATAAATTTAACAAAGTGTGTCAAGTTACTACACCAAAAAATACAGAACATTTTGTAAAAACTTAAATAAGTGCAGAGATATACCATGTTCATGGATTGGAAGCCAGTATTATTAAAATGCTGCTTTTCATCAAATTAACATATGTAATCAATTCAATTCAAATCAAAACCCAGCTGACTCTCCTTACAGAAACTAAAAGATGGATTCTACACATAAAAATGCAAAGTATATAAAACAGTCTCAACGGTCTTGCAAAATAACAAAACTGGAGGTTTTACACTACCTGGCGTCAACATTTACTGTGAAAGATATAGCAATCAAAATGACATCATACTGATTTAAAGATTAATCGATTAAATAGAATGAAAACTGGAAAAATAAGATTTGTACAAAAATGTGCCAAGATAGTCTTTACAAAACACATAGCAGCTTTATTCATAATGATTAAAAACAAGAGACAATACAAATAGCCATAAAAAGGGAAATGACTAAGCAAATTTGGGATTATTAAAACAACATAACATTAATCACAAGGAAAAGGAATGAACCTCTGGTACTCATGTAACAACATGGACAAATCTGAAAAACAAGCTATACGAAAGAAGTCAGACAAAAAATTACATATTATTCCATTTACATGTAGTTCCCAAGGGACAACAGTCATCTGTGGTTTTAAAAAGTACTAACAATTATGTGGAGGAGACCAAGAAGAAATATAAAGAAATCTTCTAAGATGATGGAAATATTCTATATCTTGATGGATGATAGATTATATACATTTATGCAGTTGTCAAAATTCTGAATTATAAATCTGGTGTGGAGGAATACACCTACAATCCCAGCACTCTTGAGAGGCCAAGGCAGGAGGATTGCAAATTCAAACTCAGCCTGGACAATTTAGTAAGTCCCTATCCAAAAATTACAAAGTAAAGAGGCTGGGGATATAGCTCACGGCAAAGGCCCTGGGTTCAACCCCCAGTGCAATCCCAGGCAGATACACACACACACACACACACACACACACACACAAACACATGTGCGTGCACACACAAAACATCCTGAATTATAAACTAAAGCTCTGAGCATTTAACTTTAAATTATTCAATTAAAAATAAAACCTCGCTGGGCGTGGCAGCACACGCTTGTGATCTCAGCACTTGAGAGGCTGAGGCAAGAGGATTGTGTGAGTTCAAGGCCAGCCTGGGCTATATAGTGAGGTCAAGGCCTCCTGAACTGCACAGCGAGACCCTGTCTCAAACAAAACCAATAAACGACCCAACAAACAAAAAACCTACATGCCTATAATCCCTGCTGGCATAGGAGTTCAAGTTCAAGACTAGCCTTGCAACTTTATGGAGACCTTGCTGCAAAATTTAAAAAAATAAAACAAAAAAAGCTGGGAATATTGTTCAATGTGAAGGGTTTAATCTCCAGTACTGCTACATGCATGCATGCATACATGTATACATAAATAAAATGTGTATTTTCACTCAAAACATATCTGATTGTCTATCATAGCTCAGGTATTGAGTATAGAAAATTTACAGGCAGCATATGGAATGGAAATATTAGTGCATAACAATAAAAGTCTTGCAAGCAAAGAAATGTAAAATAAGTTAGTTATAATGAAAAATCACACAAATGAGAAAGATTTTTAGGCTAAGTAAACAATAGGCTGCCAAACAAAGAATAGGCATATACAAATGAAACAGAAAAATATCACGATGAACTGGAGCGACTAAAGTAATCTGGTACACTTAGAGCAAGAAATTATGGGAGAAGAGGTATCTGCACTACTGTAGAAGAAGCTGGATAGGAAGGGACCCGATTATAAAGACCACAGTATTTCCAACTTATGCAAAAAAGTGTATTTTGGCTGTCCAGCAGTGAGAAACTACTGAAGAAGTTTTAGTAGGGGAGTGAGAAGTTATACATCTCATTTGGAAAGATTACTACAGAAAGTATCCAAAAGATCAAAGAAGGCTAAGGCTACAGTCAGCTCAATACAAAGGCCACTGAAATCTATAGATGACTTCATCTAGCACCAGCAAAATGCACATTCTTGGGCTGGGGATTCAGCTCAGTGGTGCCACCACCTGCCTCGGAAGCACAAGGTCCCAAGTTCAATCCCCAGTATGAAAAAATAAAATTAAAATTAAAAAGAAAATGCACATTCTTCTCAAATTCATAGAACACTTACCAAGTTAGACTATATTCTGGACTATAGAACACACCTTAACAAATATGAAGTAACAGTAATCATATAGTGTGTGCTTTCTGATAACGATGGAATTAAAACTAAAAAGTCAACTGGAAAATACCCCAAATACTTGGGATTAAACAATGTACTTCTAAGCAAAATGGATGGTTCAAAGAAGAAATCTCAAGAGAAATTTATATTGAACTAAATAAAATAAAAATGCAACTTATCAAAACTTGTGTGAAGCAGTTAAAGCAGTGTTTACAGGGCAGTTTATAGTATTGAAAGCATATATTAGAAATGAACAATTCAAAATAAATAACCTATACTTCCATTTATTACAAAAAAAGAACAAGTTAAATCAAAAGAAAACATAAGAAAAGAAATAAAAACTAAAGCAGAAATCAATGAATTAAAAACAGAATCAACAGGGAAAAAATCAAAATCATTTTATGAACTATTGAAAAATCAACAAAATCAATAAGCCTCTAATAAGGAAAATGGAAACTTGTTCAACAGATACGAAGTTTCCTTTTCGTCAGGTGAAAAAGTTCTAGAGATCTGTTGTGCAACACTGTGAATATAGTTAACACTACTGAACTATAAACTTAAAAACAGTAAAGACAGTAATTAAACAAAAAGGCAAGCTAGTAGCCAGCCTAAGAAAATGAGAGACAATATAAATTACTAATATCTGAAATTAAAAGCCAGGCATGGTGGATCCCAGCACTGGGGAGGCTGAGGAAGGAGGATTACCATGAGTTCGAGGCCAGCCTGGGCTACAGTCCAATGCCAGCCTAGACTACTTAGAGAGACCCTGTCTCAAAAAAAAGAATGAAATTAAAGTAAGGAAACTACAAAAGCATTAAGACAATGAAAGAATACTATGATCAACTTCATGCCTACACATGTGACGAACATGATGAAACACTAATTTCTGGAAAAACACAATCTGCTAAACCCCATACAGTAAGACATAGACAATTGGAACAGGCTTACATCATAAGAAAAATTTAATCAAATAATGCCTTCCAAAGCAGAAAGCACCAGACCTAAAGGGGTATGCTGGTGAATTCTACCAAATATTTAAGGAATAAACTATACTAATTCTCCATAATATCTTCTGAAGATAAAAACAGAGGGAGTACTTCCTAATTCATTCCATGAAGCCAGCATTATCCTAATGCCAAAACCAGACCACGGCATTATAAGAAAACTACAGACTAGTATTTCTCATACACATAGATGTAAAAATCTTTAAAATATTATCAAATCAAGCCAAGTGTGGTGGTGCAGGCCTGTAGTCCCAGTACTCTGGAGGCTGAGGCAGTAGGATTGCCGCAAGTAAAAGGCCAGCCTGGGCTACATAGTGAATTCAGAGCCATCCTGAACTACAAAGTGAGACCCTACCTCAAAAAAAAAAAAAAAAAAAAAGGAACTAGTGCCTCTATGTGAAGAACTGTTGAGCCACCTGTTCAATGGGAGAAGGTAACTGTGAGTAGTTAACCACTCATTCTCATTGTGTTTCAACACCTCGGACAGAACAGAAAACTAGACAAAACTACCTTCATAGTCTCCCACCTCCCAAAGAGATAGCTATCAATAAGTAATCACAAATCCCTACTGCAGAAACTCAACTATGGTAAACAGAAGTGGTAGAGTGATGAGGATGAACTATCTAGGTTAAAAAATAAGAACAAAGTATATCTGCCAGAATATTCTAAGCAGAATATACAAAGATCTTGAAGTTAAAAAAAAAAAAAGTACAGCATATTCACAAAAAGAAGAGATGAGAATCACATTACAGCCATGACTTTACTGATCAGGTAAAAATAAAGATAGAAGTCAAAAGATATATGTGCCCCCAAAAGACTATCTTAGTTGTAGATTATGGTATCTAGAATAGACAGCAAAGAGTAAAAGGGCTGATATCCTTTTTAAAAAAGTGAAGAATACAAACTGGACACAGAATAGGGATGAATCAGAAAAAATTAAAGTCAAGGGGCTCTGGATGTAGCTATGTGGTACAGTGTGTGCTTAACTGTGCATGAGGCTCTGGGTTTGAACCCCAGAACTACCAAAAACAAGATGGGCAGGAAATGTCAGGAGTTGCAGAATTTGAAGAAAAAACCCTTGAGTACATGACCATCTTCTAATTATGTCTAAGATTTAAACTTTCTATTCTTTAAGAAGAAACCTAGAAGTTAAACAAAATATCTTTAAAAACTAAGCCTTAAAATTCAATACACAAATAATCCTGATAGGTAAATACATGTTAGCCTAAAAAAGGCAAGTTTCTAAAATGATGTAATACAAAAACTTAACTTTGCTTTTCACATGATTTCTTCACTATTTTAATTTCTTCAGTGACTTATGTTAATTAACACAAATTAGTTACAATTTCTAGCTTTAACTTCAGTATCTTATAAAGGAATTACTTACAGGGACATTAAGTGCATACTGTAGTCCTTGAGGAAGTCTTTCATGTGTTTCCATCTGTTCCTCATCATTTTTCACCGTCTCCTCATGGACCATGAGTTCATCATGTGATATCATGTCCTGCTGTCTCATTTCACTCTCTTGTAACACTTCATCTGCAGCAAGGATTTCCTGGTGAGGCAGACTTCGATCTTGAAGTACTGACTCCTGCAGTTCTCCAGAAACAGTAGACTGGCCAGACACTCCACCCATTACAACCATTGCCCTGGAAGACTGCATTTCGTCTATGCCGCCACATTTAAGAAACAATCCTTCCAGTTTGTCGTCAATGTTCATGCTTAAGTATAACTGCCTAGAAAGACCAAGTTTGGCAACAAAGCATAATAAATTAGTTTTATGTGTCTACTTGATATTTTTTAAAATTTCAACTTATGAAAGGAACATTCAAATAAAAACATTTTATTCATGTAATTCAGAATTTTTTAATTACCAGGTTTCCAAAGGCTAGTATAGTTAAACATAAATTTTCATTTTGATATTAATGAGTAAAACCCTCATCTATTTCATTACTAAAAATGAACCTGAAGTAAAGTAAATTTAGGTAAAGTATTATAACTTCAATTAGAAGATGTATGTGCTTTAACATACTGAAGAGTCTTAAAATATAAAAAGAAATAAACTCAAGGCATCTGACAGACAGCACTATCAGATAAATCATTAAAGAAAATTTTAAAATAATCATTGATCATATAAAAAGAGCCACAGTAGTAATTAGTGAAATAAACATTAAAACAGTGGTTACCATATTTCACCATACTAGTAACAATTCTTTTTAAAAAATACATTCAATGTTGAGGTAGTAAAAAAAGAGATAGTTATCAATAGATACAGGGAGTACAAATTAGGTCAGCTACTTGAAAAGACAATTTGGTAGTGTATATTCAAAAGCCACAAAAATGTACATATTCTTTAAGCCAGTAATTCTACATCTTAGAATTTATAGGAATGAAATCAGAAATGTATACAAAAACACACAGGAAATCACCACAACAATGATTATAATGAAAAGCTAAAAACACATTAAATGTTCAACAAAAAGAAAACAGGTTAAAATATGCTGAAATCTAATTTTTAAAACTGAACTAAACTTGCCAGGCATGGTGGCATATGCCTATAAATCCAGCACATGAGACTCCGAGGCAGGAGAATTACAAGTTTGAGGCCACCTGGGCTACAAGAGCAAGTTCAAGGCCAGCCTGGACTATTCAGTAAGACCTTAGCACCAAAAAAAGGACTATATCAGTGGTGGGGAACCTATGGCACACATGCTGAAGTGGGTTGTTTGTTATCACTGAAAGCTCTAAGAGGTTCGCCATCACTGGACTATACTGATAGCTGCTGGTTGTGCGACATAGTAAATTTAATAAAAATTGTACACTTCAAAGATCAAGTGAGTTTTACTGTATGTAAATACCCTCATATTTTAAAAATAAAATCAGAGTAGTGGGTACCCCATGGTGGGGAGGGGATGCTGTTTCTAGGAGGAAGGAAGAATATTTGGACTGGTGATGCTTTTTTTCTTGAGAAATCTAGTTGCACAGGTGGGTTCACTCAAGACCTACACCTATGATACCTGCACTTATAATAAAAAGCCTGTTGAAACTAAAAGTAATTCAGTCATAAAAGTTTTATTAAAAAATATTTGAAGATTTGGAAAAATATTTCAATATGCTGCAGAGAATGCATGCATATGTATTTCTGTATATGTGTGTGTGACTACATTGTAGGTTTACCTGAAAGGCTAACAGCATTAAAAGTACCATTTCACAGTGAAATCACCTTTTTTTCTCATCTGTGTTTATCTGTAATTTCCATACTTTCCATATTAAATTTTTATTTTAGAAATTTTTTAACATGTTAAAATAAAAGTAATATTGTCATTACTAAGATATACTTAGTCACACAGGGTTAAATAAATTTAATAGGTTATCAGCAAGTAAGAACTAGGTACTATAAACTTATCTTTATTTTTTATCTATAAACTTTGTCCATTATCACAGGAAAATAATTTTTTCAGAACATTTTAAATGTGCCGCCTTTTCCCACTTTGTTATTGTTAGTGCATGTCTGAGGTACATCACGAGTACAGTCACCTACGAGAATTGGCACGTGTCTATTGCAATAATGCATGTTAATCCTTTTTTTTTTTTTTTTTTGGTACCCGGAATCAAACTCCTGTCCTTGTGCTTGCACAGCAGGCAGCGAAACCACTGAGCTAAATCCCCAGGCAACCTTTTTTATTTCACCTTCCCCTCTTCTCCCTCCATGTCTAGATCCCCTTTCCATTGGTAAAAGATCTATCTCCCTGTTTCCTATTATCTACCTTTTATTTTGCTCTTTGAGTCCTTTATACTTTGGGTTTCTCATATAAACCATGTGATTAAATCTGCCATTCTAACTTTGGTTGTTGTAAATTCATATTCCACTTGGCTACTATGGTAACTAACAATAATCACAAAACTAAAGAAACTTCATCTCAAAAAAGATCAAAGTGTTATAAAGTTGTTCTTTAAAAACTATTTTTATTAGCAGATTATGTAAAATAAATGTGATATTCACCACCCAACATAGAGGACTTACAAAATGAATAAATACACTGATTATATTTTACCTTAAATACCTTTTTCCCAATCACATAAAGATCATTTCCTTGATCATGACTTTCAGAGATCAAATAAGTTAAATTCCAATCACTACTGAAATCAAAATATTCTTTCCTTTACCTAGAATAGTAAAGAAGTACCTTTACTTAAAAGATCAGTTCAAAAAACTTTACAAAAACCAGAGTAAACAAAAGTATAAAATCATATTTGCTTTTCTTGCCTTCCCTCTTACCAACTAGTGTCAGTCTAGACTATATACAGGACAAGGAGCAAGCACCTGATTTTACTTTTAAAAAAATCTTCAGGTACCAAACCTGACATTTTAAAGACCAAAGATTTTAAACACATTACCAAGCAACTGTTCTCTTTTAAAATCCCATTTTATACATTTCTTTAAAAACATACTATCCAGTGACTAAGTGGATTTCTTTTAAGGCTAAATGTTATTCTGGCCCATACTTTGATAATCCCTGCAAATTATTTACACATTTTTAAAAACTATTTACTGTTCTCTTTTTTTTGGTACTGGGGATCGAACTCAGGACCTTGGGCTTCGAGGCAGGTGCAGTGCCACTGAGCTAAATCTCCGGCCCATTTACTGTTTTCTTAAAGAGCGTGGAAGCCCCTAACTTATGTAGGAACTTACACATACACACAGCCACCCTTTACTACAAGTCTTTGTTGCAGCTGCAGCTGCTACTGTCACATACACCATTATTTTTTAAAGTTTTGAGCTTTTAGAATACGGGAAATGTAAGAGAACAAGTTACTAAAAAAAGACCAGATTAGGGAAACTCTTAGTTTTTGTTTTTAAAAAAACAGTGAAAACTAGAGCTGATTTGTTGACCCAACCTAAGGTCTACATTTCCCTACAACAGGAGACCTCAACGCCAATGTTTTTGATTATGTACTTCATCAATTATTAAAAGTTTGGTATAACCTAATATATGCAGGGTATTTAAAACTACAGTATATTTCTATACTACTGTATCAATATTTTACATATACATATATATTAAAACAGAAGTATATATTTCTAACATCAAGCCAAAATAATAAGGAAGTAAAAGTAATTTAGGGATAGAGAATATTTCAGGGCAAAAAAAGCATAAAGTGCCAGTGTGAAGGACTTGGGACAGAAAGAATTTACTACCTCAATGGAGGTAGTAAATCAAAAAGGAAATATAAAAATTGGAAGTGGAAAACAAATCTGACATTTTTCTTGATAAATTTTCCTGAAAACAGACCATACACACGAAAAAGGGCTCTCTCTTCCTTTTTACCCACTGTTCCTTATTCCTATGGCCCAAATTGAGTCATACATTTGGAGTTAAATTGGATAACCTGGAAATTGGGTTTGACATAGTTTCTCAGAAATGTCACAAAATACTACATTAGCATAGAGCTATATCAAGGAGCACTGCACAGAGTTTTAAAATGAGTCTTGGAAATACTTATCAAAAATAAAACTGCACGTATCCCTGTCCTATCATCCTCAGGGACAGGGACTTACACAATCCTACAGGCTTATCCACAGAAGTCCACCAGAAACAGGTTATCCATAAAGTTCCCAGAGACACATGTACAAAGGTGTTGGAAGAAGCCCTTTGAGGGCAAAAACTAGAAAAAAAAGTAATATCCACTGATACGAAATTTACATTAATTATGATTCAAGCACACAAAGGAATACATGCAGTCATTAAAAAGAATGTGTGGGTTCTACTAGATAAACAATTGAAAAAAAAAATTAAGGAGAACTACCTAAGTAGATAGGAAAATTTTTTCCACAATTTTTCAAAAGGATAAAAAACTCCAATAATTATTCTGGAGAGAATTATTTTCCAGACAGAAAACTTACTAGTAGAATTTGAGATGTGATATAAAAAAGATCTACAGGGGAAAGACTTATTTTAACTTTTTATTTTATTCCTTTTTCAAACCTTGTACCAGCATCTTTCTTCTTTTTGCTTCTTCCCTCCAACCCTCAGTGCTGGGGACTGAACCAGGGCCTCATGGGTGCCAGGCAAAAGCTCACCACTGAGCTGCATCCCCAGCCCCACTGTGGTGGCACACACATGTAATCCCAGCACTTACAAGGCTGAGGCAGGAGGACTGCCACGAGTTTGAGGGCTATATAGTGAGTTCAAGGCCAACCTGAACTACAAAGTGAGACCCTGTCTTAAAAAACAAAAAACAAAACAAAAATGTGTTTTAAAGACAAACTAAGCCATACCTACATCACACACCTCAATTTGTCTCCAGAGTAAGTTGGACAGGAAATGAAATGCAGGCCTCAAACAAAACAAAAAGGAAACTTCTATAGCTTATGGAAAAAGGAAATGGGACAAATGTATTCTAAGAAAAATGATGAACTAGATAAAGTACTTTTAAAAACTGTCCTTCTTGCTCCTCCTTTCTATGCCATGATAGATAGTTGGGGTTTTTTTGGTTGGTTTGTTTTGTTTTGAACCAGGGATTAAACTCAGGACCTTGCGCTTGGTGAGGCAGGCAGTGGAACCACTGAGCTAAATTTCCGGCGCTATGCCATGATAGTTTTCATTCTTCCCCCTGATAACTAAGGTGATCTCTCTCAGTCAAAGCTCTTACACGCTTTACTGTACATTCAAAAGTCCAAATACAACAAAGGACCCCATGCTTAAAAATTAATGGATGCTTCTCTTATCTAATTTAGTATTTTTAGGGAGGATCAATGAAGTGTACACTGATATGATCAATCCAAATTAGTATGTGCAGAATTAAGTGTCTCTTCCTGCTAAATCCTCAAAAGTCAACTGCTTTTTGACCCAAATATGTAGGCAAATGTGTATGCAAGTGCATTCAACAGTTAGGCATATTATATAGGAGAGAAGATGAAAGCAATTACCACTTCCTTTAAATTATTGTAATCATATGAAAGACTGCTGGGGGTTGAGGGAGCTGAACAGTTAGTTCCCAGGAATCTCTGTTCAACAAGAAGGAAAAAAAAGGCCTGGAAAAGTTAAGAAGTCACTGAACTCATTCTTGTCCTACTCTGAAGCCACTTCATAAGCAGTGCTTGGCTTGGTACAGCAATCAAACACACTGTAGATGAGTACTCCATCTCATAGCTAACACAGGAGAACTTCTGACACAGAATCCCTTTTTCTCCTTTTGAATAGATTGGGCCCATTCTACATTTTTCCATTTTCCAATTTCCATCTAATACTTGTATCTCAGTGAATTTCTCTTCAACCATTTTTCATGGGCTTACAGATATCTTCTTAAAACGATATTAATTCTTTTAATTTAATTTATTTTTTTTTTTGGTACCAGGGATCGAACTCAGGACCTTGTGCTTGCCAGGCAGGCACAGCGCCACTGAGCTATATCCCTGGCCCTGTGACCTTAATTCTTAATTCCTCCATTCTTTCTTCAAACCCCTGGCAAGAAAATCTCCCTCCTTTATTTTTCCACTCCTAACTGGGAAAATAAAAATCCTAAATATGTCTGATAAGTCAAGGAGTAGTGATAAATAAACACCTATACCAAAGAAAAGAAGGCTGTAAGTTTTACAATGAAAACAGATTAGAAGGCTTGTACCATAATCTTCTAAATTATTTTAAGCACCCGGTTCCCCTTCAGAATGTAAATGTATCTGCCACTTACCACCTTTAATTAATTTTCATTCAAGCATCAAAGAAATATTTCTCATTCAAAGATCGCAGGATAATGAGCTAGGCATGATGGCACATACCTGTAATCCTAGTACTCAGTAGACTGAGGGGGGAAGATTTTAGTTTGAAGCCAGCTTGAGCTACATAGCAAGATCAAGGCCAGCCTGGACTATATAGCAAGACTATGTCTCAAAATCAAAAAAGAATCTGCTTATTATGCCAAGTGTGGTGGCACATACCTATAATCCTACCTACATGGAAGGTCAGGGTAGAAAGATTTCTTGAGTGCAGGAATTCAGAACTAGTCTAGGGAACATAGCAAGATGCTATCTCTAAATAAATAAATATTCTGCTTTTCTGTATTATTTATTGAACTTGGCAGTAAGATTATTTTCCATAAATTGTCACTGAACAATGTGCTGTTTTAACTATATATAAGCCAAAAGAAAGTATAGTGAGGAAGCTTAGGAACCAAAATATCACTGTATCTTTAAATGGAAAGAATAAATCCAGCCAGGCACAGTGTATGCCTATAACCCCAGCTACTTTAGAGGCTGAGCAGGACTGCAGGTTCAAGGCCAACCTGAGCAATTTAGCAAGAATACATGCTTCAAAAATATTTATGGGCTGGGATATAATTCAGCGATGGAGCGCTTGCTTATGTGTGCAAAATCTGGGGTTCAATTCCTAAAATCATAAAAAAGAAAATAAATTTCTTGTGTAGGTATATTCCATATTCAGAGACCTCTTCAGTTACTCCTCATTATGTCTCTCATTTTGCACCTTATAAAGCCTATCTTATAAGGTACCATATGTTTATTTTTAAGAAGCTATTTCAAAACATCATAATAGAAACATCATTTATAACAATGGGAAGTAGACTAAAATCTTGCTGATTATGTTAGCAATAGTAAAAGATCTGTAGTAGTAAACATATTTTAACAGGTGCTAACAATTACTAATCAGAGAATTTACAACTAAGATTTTGTACATCACAACTAAAAAAAACTATGATCATTTTTAAACCACAGAAAATAATTTTTCTTTTTTGGTACTGGAGATCAAACTTGGGACCTTGCACTTGCGAGGCAGGTGGCAGAACCACTAAGCTAAATCCCCAGCCCCCACAGAAAATAATTTTGAAACATTTAGGCTGAAGTCACCAGGCTTTTCTATGTAACACTGAAGCCCTCCTTAAAAAAAAATTTTAAAAACCACAGATTCTAAGCATATGCTGCATTCCAAATACTTATCACTAAAGTCTTGTAAAACAATGTAACAAAAAAATAATGATAAGAAAAGAGTGGTATTTCAAACATCAAATTGAGCTGGCATGGTGGCACATGCCCATAACCACAGCTACTCGGAAGAATGAGGCAGGAGAATAGCAAGTTCAAGGCCAGCCTGGACAATTTAGTAAGGCCCTGTTTCAAATTAAAACCTTAAAATAAAATGTTAAAAAAAGGATGGGGATGTAGCTCAGTGGAAAGCAGCTGCTGAGCCTAATCAATGCCCAGGGTTCAATACCCAGTATGGAGAGAAGAGAAAAACCAAATTTATACCAACTCAAACTGATTAAGAAACAGCTATAATTTATCTTTAACAGGAGACAAAAGGTAAAAAAAAAAGTATTCTACATTTTGGTTTTAGTGACTGTAACCATTACCTTTTTTTTTTTTAGAGGCAGGATCTCACTGTGTAGCTCAGGCTGGCCTCAAACTCACAGCAATCCTCCTGCCTCGGCCTCCTGAGTGCTGGGATTACACGCATGCACCACCACACCCAGCCATACCATTACCATTTATACCAATATCAGTAATTCAAATAATAGTCGAGCTGATTCTATAAGCAAATTAAATTCTCTATGGTATGTAAAAGGAATACTAACAATACTTCCTAAATTTTCCTTTACATTTTAAAATATCAACATACTATAAACATACGATGCATACTATGAACAAAAATTAAACACCTAACAGTTATTTTTATTATGCACTATATAGCAACAAAGACTTGTTCCAGAAAGGAAAAGGTATTAACTATTTAAATATCATCTCTTGATCCCCTTCAAGAATGATTTAATATCCCTACTTCCTATTACCTATCTTTTATTTTGTTCTTTATTTTTACTCTGAGTTTCTCATCATGTAAGAGAAACCATGTGATATTTAAGCTTGTGTGTCTGATTTATTTCACTTAACATTTTGGTCTCAAGGTGCATCCAGTTTCCTACAAATAACTCGTTTATTTCTCTTTGACAGAAGAGTACTCCATGGCGTCCCAAATATCAGATTTTCTTTATCCACTCATCTTTAGATGGACATACAGGCTGTTTCCAAGATTTATTTCAAATTGTGCTGCTATAAACATGGACATGCATGCATTTATCTTTAACTCTTTGGGGAAGATACCTAGAACAGGAATAGCAGGGTCAAATGGAATTTCTAGTGTTAGTGTTATGAGAAAACTCCATCCTGACTTCCAAGGTGATTTTATTAGTTTACATTCCCATCAACAGTAAAGATAGGTTCCTTTTGCCTTGCAGCCTTGCCTGCATGTTGTTATTTGATTTATTGATGATAGCCATTCTTTCTGGGGTAGGGTGGAATCACAGAGTTGTTTTAATTTGCATTTCTCTAATGGCCTGAGATGTTGGACATTACTTCATGTATTTATTGGTCATGTGTACGTCTGTCAAGTGTATATTTATTTCACTAACCCTTTTTGGGGGGTCTTTTATTTTGGGGGGGTCTAATTTTTTGAGTTCTTTATATATTCTAGATGGAGGGAGGGAAGAGAGACAGGATGATAAAAAGGAATCAGGTTGTGTTATATACAAGTACCAATGCCACACAAGGAATGTAAACATTATATATTGCAAACATGTACAAAAAGGGGGTGGGGTGGGGATTTAGCTCAGTGGTTCCACTGCCTGCCTCACAAGTTCCTGGGTTCAATCCCCGGTATCAAAAAAAAAAAAAAAAAAGGAAGAGGATAAAGGAAAGGTGGCAGGGGGAGGGAGGGAAGGGAAAGGGAATGAAAGAAAGGAATAAGATGTCTTATGTATATGTACGAACTTCCTGCAAGGAATGTAAATATTATATACTATACACATTGCTAATAAAGTAAAATTTTTAAAAATGAAAAAATTTCACTTTTATTTTTGAGAAATGTAAAGTAAATCTGACATAAATCCTAACGTGACAGACAGCTGGCTATCCTCCCAGAATCTGTTCTCACCTTCTTATCCAACAATAAAAATTATATGAGATATATGGCTGTGTAGGTAAGACTCATTATCCACCTTAGATAAGAATCATTACCCAGCCTCCCTTGCAGCTGGGTGTGGGCACATAACATAGCCAATGTGATATGAGTAGAAGTGATATATAGTACAACTCCCCTTAAAGGAAAGAACAGCCTTCTGTTTCTGTTCTTCCTACTGGCAGACCCAAGGATAACCATCTCAGACAATAAGAAAGAATCCAAATACTAGGAACAGCACGGGCTGAGGTATATAGCAGCTCAGTGGTAGGGTGACACTTAGGGTACTAAGTACCACTGCACAATGCCTTGAGTTCAATTTCCAGCACCAAAAAATAAATAAATAAATAAATAAATAAATTTTAAAAAAGATGAGCAAGACAAGGAGCACTGGATCATAATTATTCCATAGCCTTCACACAATTCTGGGGCAGTTTACATGGGCTTTTCAAGAAAAATACACACATTTCTACCTTTATAAGCTTGTCACAGTAGCCAACTCTATATACCAACAGATCAAATACAAATGATTCCTGAATTATCTACAAGACTGCATCCTTATTTGTAGGTAAATATAAAATACATACAAATTTACAATAACTAGTGTTTTACCATACTTCAAAAATTATACAGCAAGTACAATTAAATCAAGAGGTCTAATTGTCCAGTTTTTCCAGATATGAAAATAGTTTCCTGGAAATTCTGGAGAATATAACATGGATATATGGATGCTGCAGATGGGGGAGGTGAAAATATGTAGCCCCCTCCTAAGAAGAGCTAGTTAAATAAGAAAACAATGTCTTACTTAGGTTTACATGCTAAGCTACATATATGTTTCTGTTAACTAAAAATCTAAAAGGGTATTTATTAATCTTGTCTTAAAACTATTTTTTAAGAAAAAATTAGATCAAGAAAAAGTTTCTTTTAGATATAAAAAACCAAAAGAGCAAGTACTATACAAATTTAACATGATACACTAAAAACTAGATTTATATTTGAAAAAACTTACTTAAGCTTATGAAAGTATTAAAATTACCTGAGACTAAGGTAAAAATGAAGACTTCAAGGAAGGGAAGGCTGTAGAGTTGAAAAAGAAATCATGGTTGAGTTTCTACCTTTCTCAGGCTTCAGAAACCCTCAATATCACCTTAATCACTTATGCCATCCAATTCCTACAAGAAAACATATACATACACAACAAACAAGACATATTACTTATGGAGGGAAAAATGCTATATAAATACATTATGTACAAACTGGTATGTATATAAAAGTAAGCACTCTCTGTAAAACTACGTCTGAACGACCAATGCACTGACTTGATTTTTAGGTATAAAACTGGGAAAGCACAGTAGTAGTACTTAGTAACTGAAAAATAACTCTGGCCTTGTAAAGAATGATTTGCTTAGACCTGGAGAGTACAGCTTTAGAGAAATGAAATACTGAAGAAATTTCACAATGTTACAAACCTGAAAGGTTAGAAAAAAGAAAGCAAAGGTTAAGGAACCACTTAAAAACATTTATTCTTATCCGCTCTGTAATGTTTATGACATAACAAGAGAAGAAAACAAAATGGCAGGGCCTACAAATAACACAACTAGTACCATAGAGAATGTGTATGTATTCACAATAAAAAAGATTACACTTCTAAAATCGTATTTACATACAAAATACTTGCTCTGCTCTTGGATAAGAAAAGCTGACTAATAAAATAATAATAATAATTACACAGAAAATGTTGAGTTTATCCCAAAGAGAAAAAAAAAAATAAAGAACTTGGGTGCATATAAGGAAACATCCTGGTAAGCATTTCTAGGGTTAGTATTGATCTAAAGGCTGTATGCATTGCTTCATGAGATACATGAAAGATCCTGTCATTTTACATCAGTTTACAATGGTGCAAAGGGAAGAAAAATTTTATCCCACCTAGAATAAATCTAGTAATAATCCCATCTACAAACTTCAAAAAGTATTATATTAAATCATTTTTTAAAATATTTCAATGATATATATGTCTGTTTGGGTTTTTTGTTTGTTTTGGGTGAGGCAGGGTCTATGCTGCCCAGGCTGACCTCAAACTCAGGGTAATCCTCCTGCCTTTGCCTCCGGTGCTGGGATTACAGGTGTGTGCCACCACACCTGGCCCTGGGTTATCATATTTTTGGGGTTTTTTTTTTTTTTTTTTGGTACTGGGGATCCAACTCAGGACCTTGCGCTTGCGAGGTAGGCGCCAGAACCACTGAGCTAAATCCCCAGCCCAAGGGTTATCATATTTTTAAAAGTTCAGTTTCTAACACAGCTATTTATGCCTCTCAGTATCCTTCTACTTGAGAATTTTCCTGAGTATTCAAGATTATTTAAATTTTAAGATAAAATTTTGGTCCAAAATAAAATTTTTTATACTTTTCAGCAGGATTATATTTTATGTGAACCATAGTGAAAACAACGAAAGTAAAACAATGGGAGTAGAGAGGAGGGAGTGAAAAATCTGGAATTCTATGTAGTATTCCATTCTAGAATCACTACAATGTTTATACAAAATGCCAAGTTTTCAACAATTAATTACATTACCAAAAAATACAGAAAAATGTGATTCATATTCACAAAACACAGCAGTTAGTACAAACTGTTTCCATGTTCTCCAAAAGGTGAGTTAAACAAATAAAGATTGCAAGATATTTACTGTAGATATGTTAATATAAAGGAACCTGTATTTTAACTTTTAAAATTATATAATCGGGCAGGGGATTTAGCTCAGTGGTTCTACCACCTGCCTTGCAAGCACAAGGTCCCCAGTTCCATCCCCAGTACCAAAATATCAACAAATAAGATTCTCACTAAAAGGACAGAAATTCTATAAAAGAACCAAATGGAAATTCTAAAGTTGAAGAATATAGTAACTGAAATAAGAAATGTATCAAAAGGGTTCAGCAGCAGATTCAAGATTTCTTCTAACCTCAGTGACCTTAAAGACACATGACCAGGAAGCCAGGCGTGTGTTACACACTTGTAACCCCAGCACTCAGGAGGCTGGGGTAGGAGGATTGTTGCAAGCTCAAAGCCAGCCTGGACTACTTAATGAGTTCAAGGACAGCCTGAACTACATTGTGAAAACAACTCCATCTCAAAAAAAAAAAAAAGAATATAAGTAGAAACTATCCAATGAAGTACAGCCAGAAAACACTGAAGAAACATAAAGACAGCCTCAGAGACAAGTGGAACAAAACGTGCCTTACCAACATTTTTGGAGTGCCAGAAGAAAAGCAGAAAGAGAGTAAAATAAAATTTAATAAACTATATGCCGAAAATTTCCCAAATTTGCTTTTTTTTTAAAAAAAAAGTACAAATCCAAAAAGTTCAATGAACTTCAATAAGAATAAACACAAAAAGATCTAGTCTTGTACACGTCATAGTCAAATTGTTGAAAGAAAACACAAGGAGAAAATTTTTCAAATAACAAAAAAATGACTCATAATGTTCAGGAAACCATCAATAAGATTGGTGGCTAATTTCCAATCAGAAGTAACAGAAGACAGAAGACTGTGTAATCACAGGCTCGAAGTGCTTAAAGGTGTCAATCAAAAAAACAGCAAAACTATTATTCAAAAATGAAAAAAAGAAAGATACAATATTCCCAGATAAAGACTGAGAATGTTTTGCTAGGGTAAATACTAGGGTATTTAACTCGAAATACTAAAGGAAGTCCACTGAGCCGAAAAGACAACACTAGATTCAACTACACAGAAGAAATGAAGAGCTCTAGAAATGGTTAAGCACAGAATAAGATTATAAATATATTTTGAGCTGGGTGTAGTGGCAACACACCTGTAATCCTAGCACTCAGGAGACTGAGGCACAAGGTTTTATAAGTTCAAGGCCAGCCTAGGCCAAGATGCAAGACCCTTTCTCAAAAAAATCTAACTAAATAAATTCTCATTTCTTCTCTTCTTTAAAAGATCTAAGAAGATAGAAACATATGATTATAACACTGTACTGCTGGATTTAAAACATATATAGCAATATTGGGACAATAGATGAGAGGAAAAATTGAGCTATTTTGGACAAAGTTTCTATATTTTAGTGATGTTAAGCAGACTGTTACAATTCAAAATGCAGGGCCGGGAATGTAGCTCAGTGGCGCCACACTTGCCTGGTAAGTGCAAGGTCCTGAGTTCCACCCCTGGTACTGGGGAAAAAAAATTCAAAATGCAATCTCAACAACCACTACAAAAAAAAATAAAAAGAATAGAGTAATTAAAATGGTGCACTAAAAAAATAACACAAAGGCAGTAAAGAAGATAGAGCAACAAAAACATAAAGGACATACATAAAAGGAATAAATAAAAGAAAAGAAATAAACGTAAATCCAATCAAATGCACAATTAAACACGAATGGTAAAAACAGCCTAACGCAGAGCCAGAGACTTTCAACTTGTACCAAAAAATAAGATCTGACTATTTGCTGGGAACAAGAAGCCACTCCTAGTTTTAAAAAATAAAAAGATGAGAGAAAAATAATACAGAAACAATAACAACAAGGAAGCTGGAGGGGCCAAATTAATATCAGACAAAACAAACTGTAGGATGAATATCAGAGACAAAGAATGTATTTCATTATGATTCTGAGTCAAATAAAGAACAGTTTTATATATATATATATACACACACACACATATATGTATGTGTATGTACTTTTAAAAGGAGAACCTCCAAAATAGCGAATAATATGATTAAAAGGAATTATAGTTCGAAATTTCAATATCCCAATCTAAATAACTGATAGAAAAATTAGACATAAAATTTAAAAAGTTACAGAAGATGTGAATCATACTATCAACCGACTGCTGTGGGGGCAAACCTAAGGCACCTGTGCTGCAGTGGGCTGTTTGTATCATTGAAAGCTCAGGTTCTCCATCACTAGAATAGACCCATTTAGGATATACTTAAAACTCCACCAAACAGGAGAATACACATTGGTTCCAAACACACACGGAACATCCTCCAGCACAGACCACAACATTAAGCTTCAATAAATGTAAAAGTATGTAAATCCTACAAAGTATGGACTTCAATCGTAACAAAATTACATTAGGTATCAATTAAATTTTCTATTATTTTTATGGTTTAAATCTCAATTTATAGTAAATATTTTGGTACAGGCAATAAATGTAGAGATCCAGCTTTACCTGTTTCCAGATGGTTAACCACTTTTCCTCAGTCCATTTAATGAGTGATTCATTTTTCTCTACATTTCTGAAAAGTTACATTTATCATTTTTTGAATTTTGTATTTGGGGATCTGTTTCTACAATCTATCATTCAACTTTTTCAAGTTACCAGAATTAACTAAATCTAAAACTATCAATATGAAACACACAACTATTTTATGTATCACTAATAAAAAAATGTCAAACTATGTCAAGTCAGGAATTCATGTCATTCAGAGATGTCATAATGTGAAGAGAAAGTGAGTTCTACATTCAAAAGTTTTTTTTAAACTTTACATAGAAATCTCTACCCTTCTCTATCTTACCCTAGTGATAAAGGATAAGATCACCATATTCAACCATAAAAAATAAAAAAAAAACTTCTGCAGAGAAAAAGACACACCCACAACAAAAGATAAGCAAAAACTGAGTGAAACTAATTTGCCTAACAAATGTCAAGAGGTTGCTTTGTTACACAAATATACAAATTGCCCCCATCAAAAGGCAAAAACAGCTCTTGTTGCTTTTTGCAGTCTTCTGCCTGCCAGGAACTATTGCCCCTCTGCCCGCCTGCTTTGGAGCCAGCGATTATGCACTGAAACCTCTATGAACTGTGAACCAAATAAACCTTTTCCCTTAAAAAAGAAAAAAAAAAAAGGCAAAAACACAAGGACAGATTATGAGATTATGAATATATATATATGGCCAATGGAAAAAATGCTCAAACTCATTAAGAAAAATACACAGTTAATCAACAAAACTTGACAAGTATAAAAATGTTTTACATTAGCCAGTGCTGTCATAGAGATAAACAGATTTCTACTATTCTAAACTACTGATATGGGCATTCCTTTAGAGAGTTAGGCAACTTATTTACCAAATAGCTAAATGTACATAACTCTTTGGCACAACAATTTTTTTCCTCAGGAATTTAAACTGCAGATCTATTTTAAAACATGTGCAAAGATACACCCAAAAATATTTCCTACATCACCATTTATAATGGGTCAGAACCTCCCCATCCCAAAAACCCAAATACTCATAAATAGGAAGGTGGCTAGTTAAAATAATTAGGTACAATCAAATACTATAATCTATAAAAAAATGAAATGCGGGGACCGGGGATTTAGCTCAGTAGTTACACCACCTGTCTTGAAAGCGCAAGGACTGGAGTTTGATCCCCGGTACCAAAAAAAAAAAAAAAAAACAACAATGCAAAGGAATGAATGCAAAAATGGAAGTTTCTTTTAGGAAAAAAAGGATATTGCTGAAAAGTACGTCCAACATTTGTGTAAACAAAATTTAAATACAGACACACACATAAATGCTTGTATAAGTAATACAAAATACCTGCCAGGATACACAATGTTAACAATGAATGGAGCAGGGAGGAGCCTTTTTTTTTTAACCTGTTATGACATTCTCTATTGCTTCAGTGTGTACTACCTGTATTAACAAGCCTGGGTAAAGGTGTGAGAAACACTGAATATGACAAGTACCAGAAGATACGGAAAAAGAAGGAAATTCTAAAATATGACCACTAAAACTGCTAGCACTTTCAATCCTCAAGTTCTAAAATTCTCAAAATTAATTTTAAAATTCATGGAGAAATCTTAGAATTTTTATGATCACTAAACACCGACATAGTATGTAGCACTGATAGATCTGTAAATACCTTGAAAACTGTTAAACATTTAATTTTCTTTCATGTTGTTTGAAAGAGAAAAGGCACAAGTGTAACACATGCACAGGCCAACAGAAAAGGAGAGGACCACCTTCCCAATATGAGGGAAGTGGGGCCTAAGAGATATGCAGCAAGTACTGTAGTTCACTAAAAAAGATAAAAGACTTCATCCTATAAAATCAATAACGTGTATGCAAATATAGTGATATCATACTATGTATCTATAAATACATAAGTGAGCATAAAAGGAAATGGGATTGTCCAACAATGGCAGAGTATTACACAAGAGCTATGAGTACGTGTGTTCATGGGCAAGCATACAAGCATCTATCAAGGTAAAAACAATAAAGATTAAGTAAAACAATGCTGAATTACCTCTATAAAATCTGCCAGGCAAATGCCCATCCCGCCAGACCACTTCGCTGAATTTCCAAGCTGCTGATTCCTCCCCTATGTCCTATAAAAAGTACAAAATACAGTACAAAAGAATCAAGATGAGAGACAGTCTTAAAGTCAGGATAAAATAGTTAAAGTTAAATGTGGAAAATCTAACAAAATTCTTTCCTTAGTAGATCCTTTTGGATTAAACACAATTAGTAGCAACTAAGCCTTGGTCCAACTGTAATAACCCATTGGTGACTGGTAAATGACTGCTAAATGACTATCACAATGATAAGAAATGAATCAGATACAAATTGGACTTTTTCACATTTCTAGTTAAGGATTACAATTTCTCTAAAGTCAGGATGATAACTATGAATCATTTTAAAATAACTTAAAATAGGAAGAAAAGCACAAATGTTTTTCAGTCATATGCTGATACTCTCCATTATTCAAATAGTACTATTTTCTTGAGAAAATTTCACAGTAACATTTCCCTCAGCTTCAAAGTCTAAATATCCTAAAAATGTAGTTTTTGCTGGGCATGGTGGTACTCACTTGTAATCCCAGTTACTCAAGAGGCTGAGGTAGGAAGATCATAAATTTGAAGCCAGTCTGGGCAATACAGGGTGATCCTGTCTCAAAATTTGACAGTACATTTAAAAAGGGGAAGGGATTGTGCTCAGTGATAGAGCAACCCTGGGTTTCAGCCCCAGTACAGGGGTGGGGATGTCAGGGTATTGTTTTTGAACATACTAAAAGCAAGTAAAATTTTTAAGGCAAAGGGTGTTTGATAATGCTAAAAAGGTCTGTTGATGCTTTTTAAAATGGCCTGGCTTAATTAACCTTGTAGCAGAAACTAATACAGAAAAACACTTTACGCTGGTGTTGCATTGATACTGGAAATAGATCATTTTCTTCAAGTGAATGGGATATTTTATCTAAGTATATGAAATAAAGTCAATGAAAACTTAAAGCTACATTATAACAACAAAGAATAGGTCAAATACAATTTTTTATTCAGAAATCATAAAGCATTTTCCGTAACAGCCCTAACACATTTTTAGGGCTCAATAAATATATTGCAAATCAATAAGAGCCGTGAATATAAAAGTAGAACAAGAGAAATATAAAATCTCTAGAAAATAACCAAGTACATCAACTCAAAGTTGTGTTTCTATACTTTTATCAAGGGATTACAAACAGTAGTCACTCTGGTAACTTAGAATCTTCTAGTCCTTAGCTAGTCAGTTTAGTTGCTCAATTAGTTACAAACAAAAAAATTATTTTAAAGTACTTTATTTCTACTAAGCTCTTACTTGCCTCAAAGTTCTGTGCACAAGCATTCAAAAGAGTATATGGCATTATTATTATCTTCTCACTTATGCTTTTTGTTTTTCATTTTTCTGAGCTAGTCTCACTATGTTGTTCAGGCTGACCTCAAACTCTTGAGCTCAAGCAACCCTCCTGCCTCAGTCTCTAAATCAGCTGGGGCTACAGGCACATGCCAGTGTGTCCAGTTCAAAATTATTTTAAAATATGTATTTCTATAGCAATTGAACCTAAAAAAAAATAAAAGCCATGACACTAAAACTATACTAAAAGTAAAACAAAGCTATATCTGTTTAACACTGCTATTCACTACTCTACTAGATTGCTATATATTCTCTATATATTTCTACAGACATTACTATACTCTACTTTTACAATTGTTAAAATAGCTGTAGAAATTAGTTTGAGCAGAAAAAGCACTGCGAAGTCTATGTACAGGGAATAAAACTGTCATCAAATTATACATTTTAATATTGTAAGTCTTTTAAAAACTTGACTTATTCGCTCCATAATCAAGACCTTACTACATATCTTATAACACGGTAACATCTTCAGGCTGAATAAGTGATTTTAAAATGTTCATACTCTGTTGAAAACATTTTCACAAAAATCATACTCACCTTCTTGCATCACTTTTTATGGAAAGCACTAAATTAAGGCTGTCATATATCAAAGAATGCAACTAGATATGCTTAAAGAGAAGGATACAAAAAACAGTGAAGCAAGAAGGAAAAGGAAACATGCCACACACATACATAAAATAACTTAAAGTGTGAATTCATATCCAAATTTTAAATTATCTTTCTTATAACAACCTTTCCTCTACCATGGAAACCCACAATTACCCCTTAGTGTCTAGAATCCTAATCATTCAGCATTATCTGCCAATTTCATTTCTCCTTCAAATCTCTATTCTGCTTTCTCCTCTCCTACTCCTCTTCACAAAGAACAAGAACAGAACCAGTACCCTACAAACTAAACCCTGCAACTCTGAAAAGGTACAAAGTTACCTGGACAACTGAAGATCTAAGCTCTTTCCCTCTCCTACTTAAGCAGTTCATGAATATTACCTCATGGCAATTCTCTGCACTTTAGACTGTGCTAGCTAAATACTCCCTAATTACAATCATTTGTGCAGAAATAAACAGATTAAGACTAAAAATATACTTCAGGGTAAGGTTCCTCTATCTACAGTCAATCAAGACAGTGTTTTCTAAACGGTCAATGACAGCAAAGGGTGACAGACACACAATAATATAAACACAGACTTCAATTCATATGGGATGAACTTTTATATCTATTTGATAATTCAGACAATTTTCTACCAACACTAAGTTTAATAACTATGGTACGGAGAGAAAATAAATCAAGTATTTCACCATTTCTCTATTATTTTGTTTTTGTAGGTTTTTCCTGTTGTTTTATTTTTGTGTGTGTGGTGCTGCAGGTAGAACCCCAGGCCTTGCACTTCCTAGACAAGTGCTCTACCCTCTACCCCCCGAGCTACAGCCCAGCCCCATTATTCAGTTTTGATAGACTGGCAATAATCCAATACACTTACTAGCTGATGGTCTATTTATTAATTAAGCTAATGTTTTTATCATTAATTCAGTCAACATTTTCAATCACCTAAAATGTATCTACAGCACACTAAGACTCTTAAGACATGTATAAAACACCATAGTCTGCCCAAAGATATTCATAATTTAGCAAGGATGGTAAGCACACATACAGTAAATGTTTGTGACAACAAAATAAGTGCCATGATCAAAGTTTTAGCAACTCATCATAGAAAAACCAAGCAAAGTACAATTATTACCCCCTTGCTACCTTTATAGAACAGAAGAATGCAAAGAGTATGTGTTTTGAATTTTACTCAACAGGGTTACCAGGACTTAACAAGTGTTAATCCAAACAAGCCTATTAGATTGGGTACAGAAGTTGAACATCTCTAATCCAAAAATCCAAAATCCAAAATGTTCCAAAATCACAACTTTTTGAGTGCCACATTGACACTACAAGTAGAAAATTTCATATCATTAAACGACTTCATGTACAAAGTCAAAATATTGTATAAATTACCTTCAGGCTATGTGCACAAGGTATATGAAGCATAATGAATTTCATGTTTAGACTTGACTCTCATCACCAAGGTATCTCATGTATACACAAATATTCTCAAAAAAAAAAAAATCCAAGCCGAGACTGGTGGCACACACCTACAATCTCAGCATTTGGGAGGCTAAAATGGGAGGACTGCCAGGAGTTCCAGGACAACCTGGGTGACATGGTGGGTTCCAGACCACCTGTAGTAAGACCCTTCTCAAAACAAAAAAAAGATCCAAATATTTCGCATTCCAAGGATTTTCAAATAAAGGATTCTCAACCTGTACTATTATTATTCCATTTACAGTTAAGAAAATAAAGGGCTACATAATTTACTAAAAGATACACTAGTGGGTCAGGGATTTAGCTCAGTGGTTCCACCACCTGCCTCAAAAGCGCAAGGTCCCGAGTTCAATCCCCAGTACGAAAAAAAAAAGAAACTTCTACCTCAAAGATACATTAAAGAACCTATATACCATGGTCTAGAATGTCCTACACTTGCACAATTGCACTGTCTCCCACCAACCACTTCCATCACCATACGTCACCTTCTATTCTCTCCCGTGTGCACTCTACTCCTTATCTTGCTAGAATCTCCAGCATGTTCCAGGAAGGACTACTGCACTGGCTGTTCCTATGTGGAACACTCTTCCCCCAGATATCCTCATAACTGCTTCAAGTGTGTTTAATGATCCTTTTCTTAATGAGATAGTTTCCAGTTACACCATTTAAAATTGCAACCTCCCCCATGCACTCATCCAATTCTCCTTTATCCTCTCATTTTGTATAGCATTACCACCTCAACATATTATATAACTTATTTAATGATTATTGGTTTTCTGTCCCAACTATAAGCTCCGTAAAGGCAGGAATCTTCATGTGTTTTGCTCATTAATATATCCCAATAGCCTAAAACAGTGCTTTGCACATAGTACACATGTGGTAGTACACACTTAATATCATGTAATTAAAGCCAGAGTTTGAATCAAAGAGGTCAAGCTCAAGAAGTTCAAGCAAAATACATTATCTCTCAATTACTGACCCCCAGAAAACAAAATGGGAGCACAGAGAGAGATACTCAGAAGATATTCAGTCACATGAGCCTATGAAATGTCAGAACCTGATCTCAAAAACAAGCTAACGGGATTCTTCCCTTCAAAGGCTTGAAAAGTCTTAACAACAAAAAGATAACAAGCCAGGTTTAGTGATGCATGCCTGCAATCCCAGTTACTCAAGAGGCTGAGGCAGGACAGTTCCAAGTGTGAGGCCAGCCCAAGCAATTTAGCAACAGCCTGTAGATTAGATTAGATAAGATAGACGCAGAGGTGGATAGATAGATAGCTGGCTGGGAATAAATACAAACTTTATGGAACACTGTATTAAATGTACCATGATGATTCTTAGCAAAAGAACAGTTTAAAGCCAATCCCAGCTACTCAGAAGACTGAGGCAGAACACGAAGAGTCAGAGGCCGCCTGGGCTCTACAGTGTCCAAGAACAGACTGAACAACATAGCAAGACCCTCTCTCAAAAAACAAAAACAAAATACAAACGTGTTCCAGGTAAGAGATTTCTATGAATATAGTTAAAATTACTGTACAGCAGCAAAACAAATAACAGACACTGTGTTCTTTGCTT